ACCCTGATGCGGCCCCCAATGAAATCGAGTTTGACACCCCTGATCTAGATGAAATGTTAACATAGATTACTAGTCCATATGTGATATGCCATACGCTAAATAAATACATAAACGTTGCCCCCTAATTTGGGGTATTTCTTTTGTGGGGGATTGAGCTTATTGTCATTGAAACGATCACTAATTATTGTTTCTTTTCATCTTCAAGTAAAAATAACTCTTTCAGACTTTTGTCTATTCGGGAGTCAGGGATAATTTTCTTTTAATTAAATGTAGTTGTGTAATGAGATGGCTTCCTGAACTTTGGTATTTCTGCATTCATTCAAATAACCTTTCTATTTCATATGATACGCTCCCTTCCCACGCTGCAATTATACACTTACGTACATCTCGGTTCAAGCAGCTTATTTTTACAGTTCAGTTTCTGTTTTGCGTTCTAGGGCTTGTATGTCGGAAAATAGCACTGGCAAAACTTCAGCGAGAAGAAAAACACATCGCAGGGAGAGACCAAGAGTAAGTTCAAAATTCCAGGTTCCAGAAATAACTACTGTAAAAGGCAGGTTGGTTAAGTTCTTAATAATTCTGTATGTTTATTTAAAGGGTCAGTGCCAATTATTTTCTCCACTCTTTTGCATATTACAGATTATTGTGACTCGGGTATTACATATGGATATTGAGGCTGTTAAATTGAAAAATTCAGCACATATATGGCTAAAATGGAGTTTTGAGTTCCAACCAAGTGCTATACTTTATTACAAATAGCCCAGCTGTCAGGATTCCGGCAGTTATCCCCATTTAAATCATGAGTCTCAAGCCAAACTTCCAAAACTTCAAAAGGATTTATTGGGAGTTAAAATGTCCAGCGCTGCCTGGGTGTAGCTGTCTCTGAGACACATAATTCATTGTTACCCTTAACCTTGGTTTTCCTCTACCCCCCGGGTGTATATTAATTCATATTCTCCAATGGGACACATCCATAGCCAAGAATCATCAATCATGTTCTCTAGTTAGATATTCCCCGCAGAAACTTCGGTCACCTAGTTACTATCTTTGAAAACTATTCATGGAATGCACTTTCAGTTTCCAAGCTGCCACACTGCTCCTTCCCTCCCTTTCTGTTGGCAACTCTAAAAAGACCATAGAAATATTTTATGAGTTGACCCCATCCTTGTGTTAGACCTCCTGTAGGCCCAAGCACCCATTTGTGCCCTCATACAGCTCTAGAATGGGGTGACATTTTGTAACTTTTAAAATTTCCCCCTCGTATGCAAAAACGTGGCTAAAAGTCCCCATCTGTTGATTTTTCATCCAGATCCCTTTACAGGACACAAATATGGTGAAATCTCGACACCCCGAAAAAGGTTTCCCATCCATATACCCATATGGTGAATTATATCAGAGAGAGAAAAGCTAGAATGAATGCCTCAGATATTTTGAGGGCAGGTAGTCCTCGAGTTACGACCACAATGGAGCTCAAAATTTCTGTTGATACGTGAGACATTTGTTAAAGTGAGTTTCGCCCCATTTTACGACCTTTCTTGCCACAGTTGTTAAGTGAATCACTGTAGTCGTTAAAGTTAGTCACACGGTCGTGAAGTGAATCTGGCTTCCCCATTGACTTTGCTTGTCAGAAAGCCTTAAAAGGCGATCACGTAGCTCCGGGACACTGCAATTGTCATAAATGAGTCGGTTGCCAAGCCTCTGAGTTGTTTTTTTTTAATAAAGTTTATTTAACTTTCATACATTTAAAACATTTAAAAAACAAGGAAACAAACAAATATATATACATATATACATTTTGCAGCATAAATTGAACATTTTTTCCCCCTAACATTGGCGTGATCTGCCTCGTTACGGTACCTTCGTTCTTCTAATGCTTTAATTTCACAAAATATTTTATGATTAAACGCACGTGCCAAGCCTCTGAGTTTTGATCACGTGACCATGGGAATGTTGTAACAGTCGTAAGTGTAAAAAACAGTCAAAAGTCCCTTTTTCCAGGGCCGTTGTAATGCTGAACAGTCACTAAATGAACTGTTGTAAGTCGAGGATTACCTGTATTTGGGAGGTAGAGCTAGAAACCAGAACTTCTAAGCGTCGGCGCAGTTAAGTCACAATATAAACATTCACAGACAAGGCCAAAAGAGAAAGCCCCAAGTAGGATTCAACAGTTCTCTTCGCCCTTTCTTTCCAGGATTCAGCCATCGTATGAAGACCTACAAGCTGAGTTACATATGCTGCATGACGAACGAGACCGACTCTCTGCAGAGCTTAAACATGGGGCTCAATTGATAGAGAAGAAGGTGTCAGAAGCAAGAGAGAGAGGTGTTTTCTTTACTATTGTATTTCAGACAGTTGGTGAAGGCTGGTGTTGTGGTTTGCCGGCAGCAGGTGTGGATGGCTGAGGTCTCAGAGAGCGAGGACTCAGATGAGGGGCCTGTGTGTGATGCAGGGATGGGGCCAGGACCATCAGGGAGTGGAATGCTTCCTTCGGATATTGTGGAGGCTGGCAGCAGTGATGAAGAGGTCCCCGAGGAGCCTGTGCCCAGTGTGTGTGCATGCAGGGCTGCTCGAAGGAAAGAGCAGCTGCAGCAGCACGGGCGACTCAGGAGTAAGGCTGCAAGGTGATGGCCCCTCCCTTAAGAGATAAAAGCCAGCTGAGAAACTGGAGTTCTTTGCAGGAAGCAAAGAAGTTTTTGCACTCAAGCCCTGTGGACGTTCAGACTATCTTGGCTGGTGTTTGGAGACTCTTTTTGTTTGAAATATTTCTTGGCAACTTTATCTAGTGTTCTTGGCAGCCTTGCACAACCTTGGCAAGGCTCGTTCTTATCAGAGACCATTAGTTTGAAATAGCTTTTTAACCGGGAAGGAACAGAATTTGTAAAGAATCATTAAAAGGTTTTGCTGTTACCTCTATTTCGTGTTTGTTTCCTTGGAACAAGGTTTGGGTTAGAACAGCTGGCAAGATATTCCACACAGATCAACATTTTAAAAAATGGCCAAGTGAAAAAAATATATATGCAGTTTTAGCCTGTTCTTCACCCAGAGATACAAGAAATCTTTCACATGGAAGAAAATTCATCTGTATCCACAGCTGAAATCTGAAATAATGTGGCAGCGAGGCCTTGTTTGTTCACTGAAGCTTCCCTGATTTTAAGGCTGAATTGAACAGCTTTTTCCCAAGTTCTGGGGAAGGGATATAGCAATATTGGTCTGATGTCTCCTCTTCTCATTTTAACCCTTTCTTTTTTTCCTCTCTCTTCTTCTACCAAACAGTGGAGACTGATCTGAGCAAAATGAGGGGAACATTGCAGCACCTGCAGGAGACGCTAGAGGCAAAGACAATGGTAGAGCAGGAACTGAGGCAACAGTTGGAGGCCACAGAAAAGCAACTGGAAACAACCAACAGTGAGCTCCAGAGGACTGCTGGAGCTGCAGATAGTTTGAGACAGGAGGTGGGGCAATTAAGAGGAGAGTATGAGAGAGGTACGTTAAGTTCTTCAGAGATGGGAAGAATTTATTTCTAGCGATAAATAAAACAAGCTCTTGCATTAGAAGGTTCTTTTTTTTCCTATTATGATGAGTTAGAACTAATTAGAAATTCCTGTAGCTGCAGGAATGCAATTGTAACATCAAAATGCATCGAGAGCTATAGCTCTGTATTAAGATTTGTCTTGTATCTCAGGTATATAATCTGTAAACTGAATTTTCTGTGGTGCATCAGAGACTTACTCCTAGACTTACTCCTTCCCAAAATATTGGATCAGTCCCTTCTGTCCTGAATGTGAACAATTGTGGGTATTTAAAAGCTTTTTTAGCTAAGTTGAAGATACACCTGAGATACGGAGATTTTTTTTTAAAGGTTCAATCTATTTGAAGTCCCTCTTAATGGACACTTGGTTTTTCCCCCCTGCTATTATTCCTTCTGAGATGGTTAGGTCAATTTTTCAGGCTGACAGAACGTGATCAGATTGGAGGGACTTCCAAAGTCTTTTCCAAGTCTTTCATTTTATAGTATTTATTCTGACTTCCCAGATGCAGTAATATTCTCAAAAACTACCAATGATGTAACAACAAAATGGCTATTAATATATTCAATATATATTGAACCACAGTGGTGCTGCGGTTAGAATGCCATACTACAGGCTACTTCTGCTGATTACCGGCTGCCAGTGGTTTGGCAATTCAAGTCTCACCAGGCTCAAGGTTGCCTTAGCCTTCCATTCTTCCGAGGTGGGTAAAATGAGGACCCAGATTATTGGAGGCAATAGGTTGACTCTGTAAAGCTGCTTAGAGAGGGCTGTAAAGCACTGTGAAGTGGTGTATATAAGTCTAAGTGCTATTGCTATTGCCATAATGGGTGCCCCAACAGTTGAATATATATACTAGATGGGCCATTCATTGCTGGAGTCCTTACGGGGTGTATACAAAATCTCTGAAACTGTCCTAGTTAAAATATAAAAATTATATAATTGAGATTGGAGGCTTATTACCTATGAGTGATGGATAGGGGTAGGTATAATTAATGAACCTGATGAACAATTATGTATAACGATAAGGGCTCTATTTCAGTTCAGTAGTTGCATTTGAGCATGGAGAGCAGGCGGTGGCAATGATGAAGGAGCATTCCCCAACAGCAGAAATCACATGGAATCCGGGGTATTAAGTTTAGAAAAACAGGGGTTACGAGCAGTACTGAGGGGCATTTATTTAAGGTCAATGCCATTTTTTCTCAGCCCTGCAGGAAAAGGTATCAGAAGTTGAAACGCAACTGCGGAAGGATCTCTCAGAAATGGAAAAAGCACTTAATACAGCTCGGAGAGAGCACGCCAAAGCAGGTAAGAGTTGTCATACTGTCGTCAATGGGAAAAGGCTGAGGATGTTTTATCTGTGGCAGAAATATTTTTAAAAGCCTTTTGTGGTAAAGGGATAACAAGATTTTTTTACACAAGGCCAAGCTACAGTTAAGGTTGCAAGACGGACTATTTGGGTCCATGTTAAAAAAAAAATATTAAATTTATATGCCACTCGTCTTACTATCAAGTGACTCTGGATGGCAGATTGCAATTCAGAGGGGAAATCTTGGAATGACCTTTATCTGAACTTCCAAAGAGCTACTGTAGATGGCCTGTATCAGTTGACTGACCTTAGGGCAGTCAGGTATATGGTGGCAAGAAGCTTGTGTTTCTCACTCTCAGCAATTCATCTTTAAATGTGCTTATATCTTTAGTGGTTGCCCTAAGGCAAGCTGAACGGCAGGCAGGCAGAGACAAAGCAAGGAGTGAGGAACTGACAAAGATTCAGGAGTCTGCAACACAACAGGAAATGGCCCGTCTGGAAGGACGGCTAAAAGAGCTTGAGAGGGACAAAAACGTGTTAATGGTATGTTCAAGCAATAAGGGGGAAATGGCTTATCCCATAGCTGGCTTTTCATTAAGATTGCTTCCTTCCTCTTATAGGCCACCTTGAGGCAAGAAGGGCTATTAGCCCAGTATCGACAGAATCGGCTGTCAGCAGTCCCAGCTAAATCAATTGGAAAGACAGGAACTAGTCCTCCATCTAAAGGTATAGATTTGTTGTCTGAGAATTCTATTTTTTCCCTTTAAAAAAAATTATCATAAAAAAGAAAACACAAAACAGTAAAACAAACAAACAAAATGAAACAAACCAAAAGCATATATTCATATTCTATCTATCTATCTATCTATCTATCTATCTATCTATCTATCTATCTATCTATCTATCAAAAAGTAGTCAACAGATTAAACTAAACATTATACTAATCTTCAAATCCCTCTGTTATTATATTTAGCTCATAGAAAGTCCACCACCGTTTTCCAGTTTCTTATAAAGCTGTCTAATCCATTATCTCTAAGCAAAGCAGTTAATTTTGTCATCTCTGCTAATTCAGTCAATTTGAAAATCCATTCATTTTTTTTCCTGTGCTATTTCCAGTTAACATAAGTATCACATGTTGCTTCCTGTAATCCTTTGCAATTCTTATTGTTAGCTTATTTGTAAAAGTTTGAGAGTTTTTCCTAAATTTTAGTGTTCCCTTTTTCTTCTGGCTTAAGGATGTTTGATCCAGGATTTTGTTGATGTCTTCCTGCCCCTAACACATATCCTTAAAGATTTTTCTTTTCACAGAATCCCTATTTGCTGTGTTGGATGACTTACAAACTCTGGGAGCTGCTATTTTGGAGGAGGAAGTGCGTGACAAAAATACAAACATCATTGTGGACATTTAAAAATACAATGGGAAGATATTGGGAGAAGCAAGGATGAGAGAACAGATATTTGTAATAAAATTGATGTAAATAAATTTATATTTGAAATGTTCGGTTTCTTTTATCAAGTTCTGATTATCTCATAAAAACTATTTTTGGATGGGGAAAAATAGTTCAGGACCTGTTGTTACATAACACAGGCCTATTCCTTGCTATATTGTTCTTAACAATAGATTAATCAATTACCTTCAGTTTTAAGGCAACTGGGATGATTTCACCACAGCCACACTAGAAGCAATTAGATGGTTAACTTCTTTAGATATCAAATTATAATATCCATTCCATTATAATTCTATAGCTCCATATTATGGTGATTTTATAATGGTCTTACTTTAATATATTATCTCTTATATTGTATTGTTCATATATCTTACAAACACACACACACACACATTCTGAAATTTTATACTAAATTTGTATTTCAGTGTGCACAAACTCTGTAAATGCCATATGTTCAATAAACAAACATTAGATTCAGTCTGAACACTTACTTTGCTGGACCAGATAAAAAAGAAATAAGAAGTTATGCTCTGAAAGGAATTGTCAGCAAGATAAAAGAGAACCAGTTACTCTCTAGAAAAAACAAATAACACATAGTACCATTTAATTTCTTTAAGACAACCAGCTTTCTATTTTTTGCTACCGCTGCTTAAGAACCTCTGCTAATAAATTAAATAAGCTCACCATGCTTATTTAATCATGTTTACCATTTCCCCACCAAAAAAAGATCATTACAGCTCCAAATTATAAACCTTCCCTCTCTGACCATACCTCTCTTGATTTGTTTTTTTAAGGAATTGTTGCTTTGGGAAAAGCAGAAAGAATTGAAAATGGAGATTCCACATCCTAGTGCTGCCAAGCATTGGGAATAGGGAATTTCATCCTGTTTCTGCCTACTAGAGGGATTGGGATACTTAAACTTTATCCTTAACCATCTTTGGATTTGACTGAATCTTGATTGGTTTGAATGGTGGAAATGTGTGTTCCGATGCTCCTGTCTTGCTTTGAATAATTTCAGTGTGTTAAACATACTAAAGGCTCAAAAGTTGTTAAGCACAGATCATTTTTATTTTCTCTCTAGCATATCCAGCATTTATGACACCTGCTGTATTTTAAAAGTATCTAGGGCCCTATTCCATCTCTTGTACATTACTTTTATAGAGAAATAACTGTCTTCCTCTGTTTACTAGGAAGAGGGCAGGGTGAGGCCCTTTAGAAATGGTTGCCAGCCTGGTATTTCCCTCTTTGCTGCTTATTTTTTCTAATAGAATGTGGGAAGACAGAAGAGGGTGTTCTTTTGACTGTTGACTGGTGACCCCCTTAAATAACAAAATAACTGAGTTGGTAGGTCCAACTCTCTGCTCAAGCAGGAGACCCAATACATTTCAGACAGGTGGCTGGCTGTCCAGTCTTTTCTTAAAAATCTCTAGTAATGGAGCACCACAACTTCTGAAGGCAAGCCCTTCCACTGATTAATTGTTCTAATTGTCAGGGATTTTCTCCTTAGTTCTAGGGTTTTCTCCTTGATTAGTTTCCATTCATTCCTTCAAAGCGGCTGCATTCAGGTCTTCCTTCAAATAAGGAATCATTGCAGATTCCCATGTCACATCACCTCCCCCTGACCATCCTTTGAGGATTTCAACTTACAACCCCAATTGAGCTCCAAATTTCTCTTGCTAAGCGAGACATTTCAGTCAGTTTTGTCTCATTTTACTATCTTGCCTCAGCTGTTAACTGAATCACTGCAGTTGCTAAGTTAGTAACACAGTTATGTAAATCTGGCTTCCCCATTGACTTTGCTTCTCAGAAAGCCTTTAAAAGGTGATCACGTGGCCCTTGGACACTGCAATCATAAGTATGAGTCGGTTGCAAAGTCTCTGAATTTTGATTCCATGACCACGGGAATGTTGTAACGGTCGTAAGTGTGAAAAGGTCATAAATCAGGTTTTTTTTTTACAGTGATCACAAGTCACTGGGACACAGCAATGGTCACGAATATGAATTAATTGCCAAGCAGCTGCATTTTGATCACCTGATCATGGGGATACTGCAAAGGTTATAAGTGTGAAAAATGGGTCATTATGTCAAACGTCTATGGAGCTTCTCAGTCATCCAGGTCATGTCACGGTTGCCCCAAAAGTGCTTTTCCTTTTTTTAAAAAAATATAAATTTTATTAAAAATTTTTCCTTAGTTTCCTTAGTTCCAATTATACAAAGTCTTTGCATACTGGTTACATCCTGTCTCTCTTTTTCCCCCTTCCATCATGTTATACATCTTAATTAAGTCTATCATACAGCATATATAACCCAAAGGTCCTTCTTTTCAAGAGGCAACTGGACTTTCTTGGTTTTTCTTTGAAGACCCTGAAGAAGCTTCTTGGATGAGAAGCAAAACGTCTTCAAAGAAAAACCGGAAAGTCCAGTTGCCTCTTGAAAAAAAGCACTTTGGGGCCATAAGTCATTTTTTTTCAGTGCCGTTGTAACTTTGAACGGTCACTAAACGAAGTAAATCGAGGATTCCTGTTACTTGGCAACTTTCTAGCTAGAAAGCAAAGCTCGGAGGGGCGGGGCCAAAGCGGCCCATCCCGCCAATAGCTATCGCTCCTCCCTCCCTCCCCCGCCCGCTTCCCGCCCTTCACTTGCCCGCCACCCAATCGCCTTCCGCCGGCCGAACGCGCCAACGAGGCCGAAGCCCACCCTGACGCTCCCACCAATCAGAGCCTTCCCTCCGCCCCAGCCCGGCGTCGGGCCTCGCGCGCTTATGCTCGCCGACCCGCCCTCGAGCCTTCCCAGCCAACGGGGCAGCAAGGCTTGCTCATCGAGCGGCCAATCGGCATCGGAGGCTACGGCCTCTCCTCCTTCCACCTCGCATCAGCCGGGGCCAATCGGAAGGCAGCGCGCGCCGCTCGGAGCGCCCGGGGAGCGGCTTTTGACAAGGCGAGAAAGCCTCGGGCCGAGAAGCGAAGCGGACGAGGAGGATTCCAGAAGAGGGGAATTCGAGGCGTCGCCAAGGAGACGGCTTCCCTCCCCCCCAAGATCGCTCGTTGCTAGGGCGACGCCCGGGTTCTAGAACCGAACCGCGTTGCCGGGCAGAGCGGGGCGTGGATGTTCCAGAACGCTTGCAAAGGAAGGGCGCTCGACTCCGCGGCCGGGCAAACCGGAGTGCCCGACGGCCACGAGACATCTGCAATTCATTCCAGGATCCTCAGCCTGCTGAGAAAGCCGAGAGCCGGTTTCGAGCCGGTCCACCGAGAGATCTGCGTCCTCCGAATTTCCCGAGGTTGCTCGAAGAAGCCCGGCGGGGCTGATTTCCACGACCTCGGGACCTGCGGGCGTGGTTTTTAAGGATCGCGGATGATTTATTGTCCTGGCAGTGGAAACCTGGAACCTTCCTGCAGAAGGCGTGGGGGGGGGGGGAGACTTCCCCGCAAGGATTCCCATGGCGAGTTGCAGACACGGGTGTTGTTGGCACCCGCAATGCGGGGTCAGGAGCCAGTTTGCCTCGAAATTGCTCTTGAGGGAAATAATTGTCCTTTAAAAAAAACGTCTGAAGCCGTCTTGAAACGCGTGTCGGGATGAGATGAAACGGGTTGCAGGACTGGAAAAAAACTTGGTTTTTTTTTTTTTTTGGCAGTTAAATCAATGGGGGTTAAATCAAGGAAGCTGTGCTGAGGGAACAATCCACCCTGACTTCCCCCTCCTCTTTCAGGTAGAGATGAACCTGTCATGATACAACAGCCTGGGATTCGGGACATTTTGTAGCCATCCCAGTTTGCAATTGACCTTAATCTCTTACATCCAGTGCTGCTGCTCCTGCTGCTTTTCCCTTAAAAAAACAACAACAAAAAGTTTTCACAGCTGAAAGTTAACTTGCCGGCTTGCAGGTAGAAGTGACTGAACCCCTGGCCAGATCCAGCCATGCTTTCTGAAGCTCTGCCCTGCTTCCAGTTACTCCGGATGGGCCCGGCCTCTTCGGGGGATTTGCCAAACCGGGATCTCTACACTTTCCGACCTGCCACGCCCAGCTGCGTTTATCGTCTGGGTCGCCGAGCTGAAGTGTGTGACATCATTCTGGTGTCCGAGCAGAACCCGGCCTTGATCTCCCGGGTCCATGCAGAGATACACGCAGAACGGGATGCTGGCAGCATGGCGGGGGAGTGGCGAGTGGGCCTGGTGGACTGCAGCAGTTATGGTGAGTTCTTGTGAACGCAAAAGTAGACCTTGACTGACAACAATTCAATTTAGTGGAGTGCTCAAAGCTCACTAAATGGACTGTTTAGTGTTCAAAGTTACAGCAGCCCTGGAAAAAGTGACCGATGACCATTTTTCACACTTCACGACCGTTGCAGCGTCCTGGTGACCAATATTCAGATAGATGCCTGTGCGACTGACTCGTACTTATGACGATTGCGGTGTCTCGCGGTCATGTGATCACTTTTTGCGGCCTGAAGCAAAGTCAGTGAGGAGGCCAGATTCTCTCTTAATGATTGTGTTTGGTTAATTTGACAATTGCAGTGATTTACTTAACGTGGCAGGAAAGGTCATAAAATGGGGCTAAGTTCACTTAACAAATGTCTTGCTTAGCAGCATAAATTTTGGCCTCAATTGTGGTCGTAAGTAGCGGATTACCTGTATTGTGCTGCTAAATCCTGGCCTCAATTGTTTGTTTACATCCCACCTTTATTGTATAAATAGCTCAAGATGGCCAACACACATAATACTTTTTCAGCCTCCTTATTTTCCCACAACAACAACCCTGTGAGGTGGGTTGGGCTGAGAGAGTGATCGGTCCAACTCAGGCTTTCTTGGTTTCAAGCCTTAACCACAACACCAAAGAGTTCAGACACTTCTTCCTAAATGTGTTGAATTTGAGCGTGGCTGGATATTTTGAGGGTTAAGAATTGCTTTTATTTATTCATTTATTTCGAGGACTTCAAAACAAAACCCACAACTCAGAAGTTGAATAACTGCCTAGACCAGTACAGTTAATATTTATATAAGGG